AAAAAAAAAAAATGAAAAGGAAACATTTCCCGTTCTCAGACTAGAGGCTTCACGCCCGTCTGTGGAAAATAGGGAGTAAGCACCATAAGACAAGGGAAGGAAGAAAGAGTGAAGCAGAAGGGAAGCAATGTGGGCTGATGATTGAGCATAATCTCTAGATCATGGACTTGGAACCATGACAAGAAAGTCAGGATGTAAATCCATACCCAATGGTTTGGGTAATCTAGTGGTAAGGAATCTTTTTAGGCTGGGGGGCCAGGAAATGAGCATAAAGACCAGGAAATCAGGCCAGATGTATGGGGCTGACCTTAAAAATCTCCCCCTAGGATGATCCATGATAGAAACTTCTCCTGGGGCCTAAACCAGGTGAAGAAGGCCACCTGCTCATGATGCTACTCCCTATTCTTGGGCTGTCATTTCCTCTGAACTTTGCCCACATCATTCTATGGGCAAAGTTAAAATAGGCAGAGAGGGAAAGGTTAATACCTGAGGTCCCTGGGTGGGGGGAAACACATATTTTGGAACAATGCTGGCAGCATTTGAAAACAGCAAACCCCCTGGGGCGTAAAGTTGCTCTTAAGAATGTGATAGACACCACCTACTCCCCCTCAGGATCTCCTCAGGAATTTGACAATCAAAACACCTAACTAAAAAAAGTATCCATAAAACTTACGTTGCACAAGGGACAGTGTGAGCAGTTTGACTCCTCACACAATGGAGTCAAGCCAATCAGGAATGGACAACCTCGCACCTAGAGTTATTCAGCCAGTTAGGGTAGAACCTGAGAAGGAAGGAGGGGGAAGGGAAGGGGTGCTGACTAGAACCTTGTACAACAATGACCCTTGCCTAAAGTAGCAGACATTCATTTTCAAATGGCCCCTCTCTGTAAAGAGAGCCTTCCTTCTCTTCTTACTTTCTAATCTTATACTCTAATAAACTTTTGCCTGCTGCTCATTTTGTGTCCACCTCTTCATTCTTCTAAGCAGAGAGACAGCGAATCTCATGTATTGAGGTGAAAAATCCTGCAACAATTCTCTCTTCCTTTTTTGGGAAATCTAGGATGAAAGAAACAATGTGAAGGTTGAAACAGGAATGGTAAGGCAGTGAGACTTTAGTAAATAAAAGAATGGGGTAGAGACCCAATAAATAACATGGTATTTCAGACGTGGAATAACCTCTTTACTCTCAATATATATATATATGATATCACTAGTGGTGACACAGACTTCTAGAAGCTATCCTTTGGGTACAGTTACTATCGGATCAACTTCCTACTGAGAAGGCTGGGGCGGGGGAGGGGGTGGCAGAGAGGGGGAGAATGGAGTGAGAAAGTTCATGGTTACACTTGAAAGTTCTCCACTGAAAGATGGGAAGATTCTCTAACCTCACCTGATGTTTTCTGCCCATGGTTTAGGGGTGTGTGTGTGTGTGTGTGTGTGTGTGTGTGTGTGTGCGCGCGCGCTTTCACATTAAGTGACAGTGTTTAAATTCTAAGTATTGTGTTGGTAATTTTGGTGCAGTGAACAGGAGTGCAACATGTACCTCCAAAGGGGTTTTAATATGTGCATTTGGATTGGTTGGTGACCTTTGAAATTTTGTTTTGAGCTGCTGTCAGAAACATAATCATTTTTCTTTCTGAAACAGATTTTAACATCTGCAAAGGTTGATCAAGCTAGGATAGTTTTAATGCAGTATTAATCTCTGTTTTTTAATGTCAACCCAGCTTTTAAAACTGTTCATCAGCTATAGTAACATCACCTCAAGGCACTTGAGTTGCTTTTAATAAATGTCTTTTCCAGTGAATATTCTTGTTGTGGCCAGTGTATCGAGAGGATAAAAATTTTTCCCAGTCTGGTTCATCTGCAGTCCAGTCTTCCACATTTTCTTGTTTTTAAAGTAAAATTACTTAAATTTGTATTTTCTTATCTCAATAGTTAAGATCTTTTATATTTCAAGGAGGGGAGATTGTTGTGAATTCTGGCATTAATCCTTCAAAGTCTGGATAAAGGACATTGGCTTTTAACAAAATTTAACTTAAATATCTAGTTTAAATATGTCTTGTCATTAAAAGGTTATTTACGTTTAAAATGCTGACCTTTCAAGATGTACACAAGAGTGTTCTAAAACAGAGTTTCTGAACATTGGCCATGAAACCACTGTCTTGGGCTGACAAATGGATTGGAAATAAGCTACCCAACACTGGGAATGGGCCATTAATTTTAATCAAAGGTGATGCAGGAAGGCGAATGGGATGCATGACAATGTCAACAGCCCAGTAGGTGTTAAGAGACCACACAGCCTTCCTTGTTACTTGGTTGGGCCATTAGTTGAGGTTGGGTGAAGACAGAAAGCCATGTCTGGAATTGAATGACCAGGTCACTCCAAAATCTAATGGAGAACTCTTCATTTCAGAAATCACATTGTAATGCCATTAGAAGTCAAGGACAGCATTTAGAAAATATTGGAAGTTTTTTTTTTTTTTTTTTTTTAAACCAAGCACCTTGCTAGTTTTTTCCAACTTTCTCAAGCCCCCTGTTTTCCTGCCTCCCTTCCTTCTGAATGGATCATTGATATTTACAGAGGATCAAGAAATCGAACAGACTTACAAAAAAAAATCTCAAAGCCTGTTTGCTTTTCAGAATTACATATTGTTAGTTGTAAAACTCTGTTAAATGCCAGAAACAATAGCATACCAAAGGAATTAAGCAGGGCAATTAATTCTCTGTAGCGATCTTATTGTCCTTGTCCCTTTCTGTGTTCTTGTGTGTAGGGATAGTTTTACTAATTGAAACTAAACTTTCTTAATTGCTCTAATGAAAACATTTGCTTTATAATTGTAAAGGCCACTGTGCTTGTGCCTCCCTGTAAATTGCCAATATTGGCTGATAACATTAGTGATATTCATAGTGGTGAAAGCCTTTTCTTTTAATCAGTAAGTATATTTCATTATTTTGAGTATTTTCAATTACAAAAAAGGTAGCAGATGACAGCTTGAATTAATGATATTTATAATAAAGACATAAACTTGCAGAAGGGACAAAGAGGCATTTTTTTTAATCTATGCTTCAGGTTTGTTAAGAAAGTTCATTTATTCTGACACCGCATTGCATGCCTAAGAAAGATATGTATGACTGCATTAGTAATTTTTATACATTTTTAAGAAAAAAAAAAGCAATTATATTGCTGTCTTGTTAATGGAACACTATTAGAAGTAACAGTATTTGTTTTTCCTGTAGATGAAGATCAGCTCCGTGCCAAGGGTTATGACAAAACACCAGACTTTATTTTACAAGTTCCAGTTGGTAAGTCCTTAAACTCTCTTCTGCATTTTTTTTATAGAGAAAGGGGGTGTGTTTCCTCCGTAGACTTTTTGTTTTGTTTTGTTTTTTACTTTTTGTTAATATTAGCAAATGTAACCAGAGTAGATTAGCTTTAAATGGGTGAAATTGTTGGAAAAGATTGTTTTAGAATTACAGACAATAATAGATTCAGAAGAAATCTCTGCCTTGAAAACGTTTACCTCAATTTGAGAAATAAGCATATCCTCTGAAGACATTTGGGGTGCCATTTTCTTTTTTTTTTTTTTTTTTTTTTTTTTTTTTAATTTTTTTTTTTCAACGTTTTTATTTATTTATGGGACAGACAGAGACAGAGCATGAACGGGGGAGGGGCAGAGAGAGAGGGAGACACAGAATCGGAAACAGGCTCCAGGCTCCGAGCCATCAGCCCAGAGCCTGACGCGGGGCTCGAACTCACGGACCGTGAGATCATGACCTGGCTAAAGTCGGACGCTTAACCGACTGCGCCACCCAGGCGCCCCTGGGGTGCCATTTTCAAGTCATCTCTCTCAATTCTGAATTTTTCCACGTGGTTCTGTTGAGAAGCCAGGCTGGCTTGCTTTGGTTTGCTTTCCCGTTACTTGCCCACTTACAGAGGCAGCGTCAAAGTAGGAGAGGGGCTTTCGAAGAGGATGATGTAAATCAAAGGGATATGATTATTGCATTAATGCTCCTCATAAGAACACACACGATGTGTTGTTTTCTAATTACATCCGTAGATGACAGCGAGGGCTAAGCCTCCGCTTGCTAATTTGAAGTACAGAGAGGCCTAGACAGAGTTCAGTATTTTCAGTCTTCCCTTCTCTTTGCTCTGTATTAGTAATGCTTTGTCCCTTAGCTGTAGAAGGGCACATAATTCACTGGATTGAAAGCAAAGCCTCATTTGGTGATGAATGTAGCCACCATGCCTACCTGCATGACCAGTTCTGGAGCTACTGGAATAGGTAAGGTCCCATTATTTTTCTCTTAAGATAAACGATACTCAGCTGAAATCTCATTAGAAAAAATATTTTGTTTAGCTGGTAAAAATGCTCGTAGCCTTTGTTTCTGGTAAGTACAGAGACTTGATTAATGTATTCATTTCAGATAATTTAAACTTCTCTGCTTTCATAATGTTGCTTCATTTTTTAAAAGTAAAAATCTCTGCATAAGGTCAAAATTAGTATATACTCCCATATTCCATTTTATAGCGATAATATTGGCATCACTAAAACCAGAAGTAATAAGATATGGGGCGTATTACGGTATCGACACTAACTTTTTTTCTTTTTGATGTGAAATTTATGCATACTCTCAGACCTTTAAAAATACCTTACCCTTAGCTCTGTGAGGATAGTGTACAAATGATGTGAAAGATCAAAATGATTTACCTTCCAACAGAAAACAGTTTCCCTACCAACTTCAAGGCATGGAAATCTTAGTGATTAAGGGAAAAGGTCGGAGGGGAGGATGCTTTTGTTATTGAATACCCACCATTCAATGTGCCTGGGCCTCCACATTCTCTGTTAGTCCTCACAAGGAAGTTACTTCTCCTACTTGATACATAACTGATTCTCAGAGAGAAAGTATATGCCTTACAGTTAGTTATCATGCATTTGTCTTTCTCACTCCCAAACCCATGCCCTCTCCAGCGCCTCTCTGTAGTCATTTATAGTACCACTGTTGAAACTTTGGCTTTTTCTAGTATTGAAGTCCCAAGTTTTCACACCACACATTTTTCCCCCCTTAGAACAGGACGTAGGGCAAGCAGTAACCTTCCTAGATTAACTCTGTTCCTCAGTCACTGGCCAAGAATACAGTAAGACGACGACACTGGCCCAGATCATTAAGGAACGAGACAGTAACATCTGTGGACAATAGTCTTGTCCTGGGGAAGAAAACAAAACAAAACAAAACAGTGACAGGCTACAGAATTTGGTATCATATTGTTACTCAGCTTTACAAAAGGCCAGCAGACCTCGTCCGTGACAGCTGTGCTAAACTAAGCCCACTTTTTGCCATGGTAACAATGATCATGACAAAATGCTGAATGTAATGGCTTTCTTGATTTTCTTGTGTAATTGTGCGTAGCATCCGAGCTTTACTTTACAGGGATGGAGGAGGAAAGTGCAAAATGTTTTAGAAATCAATGCTGCTTCAGCGTTCCCTGTCTTTTATTCAGCCATTATTCAAATTAGTAGTAATGTGGCAAATTGAATTTTAGATTTTTAGCAATTTTATGAGTTCGAAATAGTAAAGAAAGAATCATCTTTGATGGTATAGGGAAAGCAATGGCAAGAAAATCAAATTGTGTAAGTTTAGTTTGCTAAAGCATTTTTAAAAACTGATAAAATCATTATGCACGGAGACCGTGCCCCCACTTTGGTGCTGGTCAAGCCTTTCATGAGGAACAATTACAAATTGAATTCCAAAGAGTAGAGCTTGCTTAAAAATTCCAAAATCATATTTTCTTTCTAAAATAACTCTACAGGTATTGAGTGCCTACTGTGTACCTAGCACTCTCTATTTTAGAGGCTGGTTAAATAATCTAGTCAGTAATCAGCCTTCTATACATTGTTGACCTGGCTGGAGGACATGGGAGCCATAGATAATTTAATACAGTTGCCTTTGGACTGGATTTTAGATTATTCTGCTGTGTGCTACTTTTTCTAGTTCAGTGATGCTTTACTTACATGCTTATTGGTTTACATTCCCTAACCCTTTTCTTTGAATATCTACCAGCTACTGGGCATGATTCATTTAGGGCATATTGTGTGATAAAGGAAAAGTAGCCCTTGGTTTTGAATCATTCTAGGTCATCCAAGGAGAAAATACGCTACACAGAATTCAGTAGTTTTACCAAATGTCTGCGGAGAGGCCAAGAAATGGAAGTAGTGGTGACATCCAAAATGGAACACAGAGGCATTGACTTGGACATAAAATTTTGATTACAACAGTGACACAAACTCACCAGTGATAGGGCATTTTGACTTAGCCCATTTATGAAAGTATGGAATCCTACTCTTTATATTTAGCCTCAACATAACTCACATACTAGTTGCTAAAATTGTTGAGAGTGGAAAAAATCCTCTCTCCCACCTGTGGGTAGCCTTTCAAGGAGGCTGTTGGTTGGTTGGCATTTGGGTTAATTGCTTCATTTGTATAAGCAGCCTCTAGTTAACATACGCACTGTTATCAAATTGTCACTTTTTTATGTATGTATGTATGTATGTTTATTCATTTTGAGAAAGAGAGGGGAGAGAGCTTTGCGAGCCAGGGAGGGGCTGAGACAGAGAGAAAAAGAGAGTTGGGGGTGGGGGGAGAGGGAAACAGAATCCCAAGCAGGCTCCATACTCAGCACGGAGCCTCAAGTGGGACTCGATCCCACGGAACCACGAATTCATGATCTGAGCAGAAACCAAGAGTCTGAAGCTTAACTGCCTGACCCACCCAACACCCCTGTCACACTATTTTTAGATTAAGCGTCGGATTTTATAAGAAGACCGTTCAATTAATATTTGTAGAATCGTGACCTTGTATAAGCCCTTTTTCTCACATAAGTAATTACAGAGCCCTTAATTCTTAGCTTAATGTTTCTGAAAGAGTTTTCTTTTTTTATATAAGTTGCTATGCTTACTCATTCTTTCAGCAACTTTTCACAATGTTGATCATACCCTCTGTCTTTATTAAAATGTCTTTTCTTGACTTCCAAGAGGTACTCTAGTGGGTTGCTTCCTACATTACAGCAGCATACTCCGTCTGCTCTGCTGGCTTTTCCTCCTCCCAGCTCCGTGTGGGAAGAGGGCCCTGGAACTCAGTGCTCACCCCTCTTCCCTTTGCCCTCTACATTCACTCCTGCATGCTCCCTTGGAGATCTCATCGGAGACTATGGTTTTATATACCATCTCTATAATAGTATCTCCTAATTCTTACTCCCAGTCCTAATATTTCCTCTGAGTACAAATTTGTCTCTGCAACTGTCCACTCCTGTCTCCTCTTGGATATCTAATGGCTATTTCAGACTTAACATGTCTGACGTTAAGCCTTTGATTTGCCTCCTCAGGCTCGTTGCTTCCCCCGATTCCTCCCAAGATCAACTAATGGCATCACAATTTGCCCAAGTTGCTCAAGCCAAAGACCTAACCCATCACCAGCCTACCCAAAAGTCCTCAGCTCCATCTTTGCCATATCTCCAATCATGCCTCAGCATCACCTTCTTACTTGGCATCACCTCGCTGTCTGTCATCACCTCTTGGATGGTTGCTGGAGCTTCCAAAGTGGTTTCCATACATTAACTGTTACCTTCCTATAGTCTGTTTTTCATACCCTAGCTAGAGTGACTGTTGGGTAATACAAATCAGATTGTGTTGCTTCCTGCTCAAACCTCCTCAGTGGCTTCCCATCACGTTTAAAATAAAACCCAAACTCTTTCACATGACATTCAGAGCCCTGCATGATCTGGCCCTCCACCACCCCCAGTTATTTGCACATCTACCTCTCTCTCCCTCTCTCCCTCTCCCCTCAACTAAGGCTCCCTCCCCCTCTTATACTTCTGGGGCCACACTGGCTTTCTGGGCCTTCCTTAAATCTACACTGCTGATTTCTACTTCAGAACTCTTACTCTGCTAATTCGTCTGCTTGGAGCTTTCTTCATTTGAATCTCCACATGGTAAACTTTTCACACCATTCAGGTGTCTGCTCACATTTCCCCTCGTCAGGGAAACCTTCCCTGACCCACTCAGTCTAAAAGGCCTCACTTCAGTCATCTCTCTCTTCTCACTTAGTTGGACTTTTCTTCCTAATATTTATCCCTTTCTGAGGGAAAGAATAAACATTTAAATAAGCATCAATTTGTTTGAATACAAGCCTTTATTAAAGGGGTTTTCCTTTTGTATGGCTGTATGTAGTATGCCCCTCATTCCTTTGTAATCAAAGCTTCAGATATTTTCCCCGGTTTAATTAACCTCAGAAAAATCTGAGTTTCGAATGCCATCACCTTCCCTGAAGCCAAAGATATTGAGTACAGAACATAAGCTGCCTCTCCCATGAGCAGGCCCCTATCCCAGGTATGAACCTTGATTAAATAACTCCTCAAGCTGCACAGTCTCTACTTCTGTGGAGTTAAAGGAAATAAAAAAGGCCTCTGAGAAGCAGCATCTGGACCATAATACAGCCCCAAATTCTATAAGACTATATATACAATTGTATAGAAAATACATACAGGGGCGCCTGGGTGGCTCAGTCGGTTAAGTGTCCGACTTCGGCTCAGGTCACGATCTCGCAGTCCGTGAGTTCGAGCCCCGCGTCAGGCTCTGTGCTGACTGCTCAGAGCCTGGAGCCTGTTTCAGATTCTGTGTCTCCCTCTCTCTCTGACCCTCCCCCGTTCATGCTCTATCTCTCTCTGTCTCAAAAATAAATAAAAACGTTTAAAAAAAATTTTTTTTAATTAAAAAAAAAAAAAAAAGAAAATACATACATACTGGGTGCCTGGGTGGCTCAGTTGGTTAAGCACCGCCTTCAGCTCAAGTCATGATCTCATGGTTCGTGAGTTCGAGCCCCACATTGGGCTTTCTCTGCTGTCAGCACACAGCCCACTTTGGATCCTATTCCCTTCTCTCTGCCCCTCCCCCACTCGTATGTTCTCACTCTCTCTCTCTCTCTCTCTGTCTCTCTCAAAAATAAACGTTTAAATTTTTTTAACTTAAAAAAAATACATGCATATTTACACACATACACACAGATATCCCATATACATAGCACTGTAAATATAAATTGTATAAAAACCATATTTCCTTATGCAGTCAATACCCCAATAACCTTTTCATTCTACTTCTGTAGTCAAAAAGTGACTTCCTTGACAATTTGGCCAGTATTACTAAGTGTATTTTCATATTCTGGTGGTGACAGGTTAAAAAAAAAAAAAAAAAAAAAAACAAAAAAAAACAATTCTATAATCTGAGTCCAA